TTGAATAATGTACTTCTGTTTATACTATATTGCTAGTTGCACTTCCCGAAGAGCTGTGCAAACTGAAAAAGCTAGAGGCTTTGCACCTCAACGGCAACCAGCTGACACAGCTACCTGCTGCTTTTGGACAACTTGCAGCTCTGAAGACTTTGGGTCTTTCTGGAAACAAACTCCGAACTGTACCTGTCCAGCTATGCAGTCTTCGTCACCTGGACGTGGTGGATCTCTCAAGAAATCAGATCCAGAGTGTGCCAGATACAATTGGAGACCTTCAGGCCATTGAGCTGAACTTGAATCAGAACCAGGTCTGGGAACTGGTTTTTTAGGTGTGCATTATTAAGGAGAAAAGTTTTCCTAAAACAGAAATAACTTGGATGTGAGCTTTACACTTAATATTCTAGATAATGCTTGGTTGCTGTGGTGGGAAGCACTCCAGCTAAGATTATTCTCTACTTTGAAACACAATGTTCCATTTGTTGAGAAGAACATAAGCTCCTGTGGGAATAATGCTTTGAACATCATATCTTTTCTCAGCTAGTTTCTTCCCCCAGTTTCCATTATAATGTTAAGTGCTCATGTAACAGAAAGTGGGTTTGAGATTTCATTTTTTGCAAACTCTCTCTCTACATATATACTGCGTGTGTATGTGTGGGTGGATGGATGGATAGATAGATTGGAGTGACACTTTAAAATGTACCTGTTTTGACTTACAAACAAATTAAATTTAAGAACATACCTACAGAACCTGTTATTCGTAAGTTGGGGACTGCCTGTATCAGCACCAGTGGTATAAATAAATCTTAAGACTAGTAAGACCATTAACTGGAATTTCCCAAACTTAGGATTTTAGTACTATGCCAAACTAAATATTACAGCCCTAAACTACTCTTAATGCTAATTGCTGCAACAGGTTGGTTTCCTGAAGAGAGGAATATCTGTCATATGGTTTATCAGTAGAAGACAGATATTTCAGTATTCGTGTTTTAGTGTGTGGTTGTTCATAGTAGTAGCATTCATGAAGTGGGGAATGTACACCAATGTTTTGGGATATGGGTTATCCTTTTGCAGAAATTGTCTTTTGTTTTTTATTCGGTTACTTCTGTGAGGGAGGTAGTAACAGTCTGAATTTGGCACTGACAGAACAGTAACGTTTTCTTCCCCTTTTGATAGATTTCGCAGATCTCCCCACAAATCTCTCACTGTCCACGCCTCAAGGTCCTGCGTCTGGAAGAGAATTGTCTAGAACTAAGTGTACTTCCTCAGAGTATTCTCAGTGATTCACAGATCTCTCTGCTTGCTGTAGAAGGCAATCTTTTTGAGATCAAGAAACTCCGAGAATTGGATGGATATGACAAGGTTTGTACAAAAAATTCTTACATGTTTACCTTTGCTGCCTTAAGTAAACTAATAAGTGACAGGAAAATAAAGCTTAAACAAAAGAATAAATTAAGAAAAAATCCAAAGTTTTTTCCAGCCACTTAAATAGTTTTTTTGAATGCTTTGGTATTTTAGACTTTTTCTAGATATCTTAAGGCATTGTTTTTCATATATTTTTAGATACTGTAGTGCATTTCATAGCTAGTTATATACAAATAAACATTGTGCTGGTGGCATGCTTTGTGAGTGGAGGTAAATTGTCGGAAGATAGCAAATTAGGAAAACTGAAAGGTTATCTGTTTTTAATTGTTCTTCTTTTGAGTAAATGGAAGCTTCTATCTTCAATAGTTTATTACTTTCTCACAATATGCACTTTAGAGCATATTGCATCTTAAAAAGGCATTTAATTACCCAGTATAGAATTAATTACATTTTCTTGAATTGGGTCAGTAAAAAGGAAATAAACAAGGGAAACAAAACTTACTTCCCAGTACAGAAAGCTAAAATTCTTGTCATGCTAATTTTCTTTCCTTAACAACTGATTTTGTTGCTTTATTTTTTAGTATATGGAAAGATTCACAGCTACAAAGAAGAAATTTGCCTGATGAATTACTATCAGCTTTATCTTATGAAGGAAACTGTGGCAAGAGTTGTGATACATTAATGCTATGTGCTGCTAACCTGTTGGGAAGGAAGATGCTCAAGGTTTTCATAAAGGACAAGAAAACCCATAATTTTGAAGTTGTCTAGCATGTGTCATCCAATGCCACTAAGTGAATCTAGGAATTGACCAAGCTATACTGGGTACAACACTCAGCACCTTTGCAGCTCGCAAAGTACTTCTGTGTATGTGATTCTCTAGCTTCAGGGATCATCATGATTTAATAAGTGAAATCTTATTTGAGAAAATACCTGAGCGGCAGGAGATCTTATTGCAGCTGTTCAGGTTGAGCTTATGGAGATGAGGAGTTGTGTGGGAGACATTGGCCAAGGAATATACTGACTTTTTGTTAACCCTCCCATGTAGAGTTATCTTTTGGCTTTTACTGTTTTATAGTGCATAAGAGGCAGATGATGTCATTTTAATATCATGTATATTTTGAAGCACAAATAGTTGATGGACTAACACTAATTTATAAAATATTCAAAATAGTTTTCCTACATCCAACAAATGGCTTTTCTTCCATTTGATGATGAAATGTCCTATAGTTCACCTAAGCATGCTACAGTAATGACGTATGGAACCGGATCTTAATGCCTATACTGACCGCATTAGGGAGAGCTGACATCTTTGCACTGAATGTTATTGGCAGTAGAAAGCTCAACTGCTTAATCAAGTTGATCGCCATATTGCTGCCTTATGCAAAGCACCCAGGAGGACCTAATATATGCAACTTCTCTAAGTAACTTGTATATTTTTTACTAAAGATCTACATCCACAACTGTCTTAAGCTTTTCAGTTAATGTTGTAACTTGCTCACTCCATGTCATTTAAACTGTAAAAATAAATGGATGCACAGCTAAAGTTGTTTTTGTAACATATTTCCCTTGCACATGAAAGTAGAAACTACTGCTGTGGGGAAAGACCTACTCCATACAACCATGGGTTCTACATAAAGTGTAGTCAAGAACAAGAACATTATGCCTGCTTTCTGCACTTTGTATTTGACACAGCACCTTCCCCCTAAACAAGCAAACAGTTTAAGAGTTAATGAAAATACACATGAATAACATCTAACCTCATCCATGTGTATTTCGGATTTGAAAGAAGGGGTTGGGTAGAGAGTGAAATATTGCATGCTCATTTTCAATAGGTTTTATTTGAATTTATGTGTTAAGATTTAAGGAATGGCAGTAGTTAACTTCTTTTAGAAGTAGTCAGAGCAACCTTATATAAGCCTTTGCATTGCATGCTTAGGATATTTTCCTGTTTCCTGCCGTATTTCCATGCCTCTCCACATTGCTTCCATACTGCTTATTTCAGTACACAGATCTGTATGTTGTTAAATTGAACCTAAACCATGCATATTGTTTCAAATAGCCTTTAGTACAGAGCTGAGGAAAGTGTGGGTTGCCTTTTGATGCCATTAGCACACACTTCAAAAAAGCCTTGGCCAATTTTTATACACAAATGACTCGAGAGGCATTTTACTGTATCCCGGATGGGCAGGAGTCGGGTAGAAATCTATTGTAAACTTCATTTAATAATTTTCTCTTTTCCACTATTTTTTAATTTTTATACTGTGCCAAATCTAATTGATAATATTGATAGGAAAAAGTTGGAAATAGGTACTTGTTAGGATTGCTTTACTTAAAAGCAGTGTGTCTCATATTCAATTACTATAAAGCAATACTAAGAAAAATAGCTGTGGGTCATATGCTTTATGCAAATTAAACAGTCATTCCAAATGCGATCTTTGGTTCCTTCCTCTCAGTGGCAAGTGCACAATGGGGCAGGCAAGAGTCGATTTCTGTGATTTTATATTGGTCATGTAATATCGGCTACATTGGTGATTTTAGACAAACATACATTTCATTCGTATTTCTGTCATGGCCAGATGCTCTGAAAAATTGCACAAATATGTGTATTACTAATTTCAGAAGGCACACACAAAAAAAAATCTGGTGAAAATTTTTCTTAGCTGCTGCATTGTAAATAGAATTATCCTCTTCCACAGAAATATGTCCATAAGCAAAATCTTTAATGTTTAAATGTATGTCTTTTTTTCTTAAGTGTAGAAAATAATAATTATCAGATGGTCTGTCACCCAGGGTTGCTAAATTTCAGCAGAGAAACAGCATTACATGCTCTCAGGAAATCTCTTGCATCAGTCTTTTACATCAGTACTAACCGAACAGTACAAGAGTAATTATCAGGATATATATACAGTTAGTCATTGCCAGTACTAGTTCAGGGCAGAAGTCTGGGTCCTTGCAACTAAGAACATACACCATCCCAAAAGGGAGTAAAAAGCAGCTGAACAGTGGTATAAACTGCTTTTCACAGGAATATCTGCAGCAAGCTCATCAGACATGTTGCCATTACCTATGTTTCCAAGAACATCACTAAGTGGTTACAGAGACACTGATTCACAGATGTTTCTCTGAACAATGTACCTGCTGTTCACTTGGCTTTTTCGGGGAGAAAGATGAAAACATGAAAAGTAGCCTGGAAAGGGGATTATGTTTAGGGGCCCAGTTCTACTCTCACTGTGATAAAGTGCTTCATCCCATCAGTGAAAGTACTGGAATGTTTCTCAGAAGTATGCCATCTGGTGCATTATTTACCACTCAAAGCAGTAAGCTGTATATGTATTCAACCAACAAAGTCCTGAGGAATTCTGGAAGTACTCCAGTTCTAGCAAGGAGAGGCAGCTCCTCAATATCTCTCATTAAAGAGTGTTGGGGAGGAAAGTAGCAAGCTACCAACATAACTGGAGTGGGATGGGATGAATGGGTGGAATTGGAGGACAACACAGAACAGCAACGCTGGAAGTGATTATATTTGGGATAGGGCTGCCTTCAGCAACTCACAGCACAAACTGCGTCTGTAGTAATACCATCTATAGTAGTATTTTCTGTCTTTAATACTATTCAGAATTAGGTAAGCTGTTAGAGGCAAGCCATTTATAAGTTAATTTTATTCAGTCCAAGAGGTATAATGACAGAAACCAGAGGTGTTCATTTACAGCTCCAAATAGGTAACACAGAAAGCAAGTGGATTCCAAATAGTATGGTCTGAGTTGGTAAGATGTTACAAATTCCTTAATACACATCTTCAAATATAACACAAGAATTACCCACACTATTGTGGAATTTGTATATAATTTCTTCATAAAAGCGAATGAGCAGTGTGTGCGAGAAAGCATCTATAGCTTGGTAAATCTCACATCAAATAAAAGAATTAAGAACAACATATTACAAGATTGAATTCATTGTTATGCTTGCAGTTTGTGTGTTCTGCCATTTCTGGAAAAATTTAGAATTTCCTAATTTGAGGATTATTTGCTTCACTATTAATACAGCATATATATCCAACTAGAACTACTATCTTGTCATTATTGACAAGAGATAACATACAAGACTGACCATTATCTTATTACAATATAAAATTATGGCTCAGTTGGAAATGATTTGTAGAGAGGCAAGAAAATGAGGTATCCTCTTGTAATTTAAGAAAAGTTACAGTATAATGAACCAGTTTGTTTTGAGCTCTTCCTTTGGCAGGACTTAAAGGCCGATACAGCAGCTGCCATTAGTCCACAAAATACTACTACTTCTGATTGCAACATAAATCTCATAAATTCTGCAATCCTTGAAAGTATTCCCAGTCCTCAAACTATCATAAATTCTTACATACTAAAAAAAAATCAACTTAAACACACTAATAGCACAATATCCTTACAAAAAAAAAAAAAGATTTCCATGCTGTCTAATTCTTAATCAGGAGACAACTAATGTTTTCTTGGAAAAGCCTGAAAATGTAACGTATTTAAACTGGTACTACAGACATGTGAGTGCTAAATGAAGCACCTTAATCCTGCACAGAAATACTTTGCGGCCAAATAAATTACTACAGCAGACCTATAGAACTGTAACCACCAAACTAAATGCAGATTGCTTAGCAGTCCTATAGGCTAGTTTCCATGGCTTAGCTCTATGCCCAGTATTACAAAAGTGGGTAGTTTACAAGCAATAGCAAAACATACCCAATTCAGAGATAGATCACAATTCATAGTGTAAGCCTGTACTTTAACTATGCCACAATTTCAAAATTCATGAAATACTACAAATACAGATTCGTTACATTGACAGAAACAGAAGCAAAGCTGATTTATTAATGATTGCACTCTTCCATATCATTTCAGTACAAATGCTAAATATGAGTTCAGATTGAAGAAAACTATTGTTTGAATAATCAGTATGTGTTCACATATTTAATTGGGTACCCAATGCAAAATTTCTTTTAAAATGAGTCCTGCCAAGTGGAACAAGGTGTTAAATTGTGCCCTTCTTCTATTCTATTTTTCTTCTCAGGATGTACAATCTTGCTGTTTAACCAAATACAAACTGATTGAACTGAAAGATAGAACACATTTCTTTTAAAAGATACAATTGGGAAAATAGTTTTGTTTTAGCCTACCATCAGACTTCTTTGTAATTTTAATAAATTGCTTAAAAAAATAATATTGAACACCAAGTTCTCTTTTCAGTGGGAGTATGAATCTGTGCCCACTGGATACACAGATATTTTTTTTTTAAAAAAAGAAAAATGCAATAGTATTTCTGAGAAGTTAAAATTTGCATGCTACAAACAGTAAATGAAATAAGGTTTGTATCAAACATCCCAATGATTGCATTTAAGTGAAGAAAAACAAGTTTAAAGGTTCTGTGAGAATCATGTTTTATGTATGTTCACATAAAAAATACAGCACAGATTACTTGTCTTTTCTGAACTCAAACAAGAACTGCTACAGCTTAGAAAGAACATCCTTTCCAATTTATATACTGCATGTCAATGATCATGGATAATCAAAAGCATCAACCATTAAGCCAATTACCAGAATAGATGTGCACTATTCGTTACTTTTATGGAAGGTTTCATAATGAGATCAAGCACTCTGTAAAAGCAGGAACAACATAATGAAAAGAGACATTATGTATAAATCATTCATCTACTTTGTTTGCGATGACCTGCAATATTAAGTGAGGCAATTAATCTTGTGAATACATCCTGTTTTGTCTTTGCATAATTGCCTCACTCTTTGCCACTGAACTATTATAAAAATGGGGATAAAGGATGGAGGAAAGGACACAACAAAGAAAGAATCAAAATCAGAAAATGAAGCCCTGAGGATATGAAAAGGGTTTTTTATAATCTGTGTTTCTGATGTGCTGCTTTCCTGGATTTCAAACTGAGACCTGCTTTCAGGCAACAAAGAAGCCTAATGATACATCTTGCTTTGTTTCATCTTCTGGATTCTGTTATCTTCCTTCTTTGGAAATTGTGTTGTATAGACTTAAACTGATGTTAAAGCGGAATCAAGAACTGGAAGCTGACTATTAGTTATCAATAAGTCTTTTGGCTTTTACATTGGCTTGCTCAATACGATCCTTGTTGGTTTCAGCCTGGAAGAGAAAACACAAGGTAAATAATACTAGTAAATTAGGAAGAGAAAATCAACATATTCCAAGTCATGCTATGTCACTATTATTGGGGATAACGGATGGATCATGACCTGTTAAGATCGCATCCCATCAGCGGCAGAAGAGTTTGAGAGAAGTATTCCTTGAGTTTATTTGCTGCTTTAGGCAAGCAAAGATTCAAGCAGACTTCTTTTAGAATAACAATATTTACTCATAACTTCACGTGTTCAATGATACAGGCACATTTCTTTTGAGAGTTCAATACTTCAAAAGTACTTGGAGAACTTGATTCTTAAAACCTATAAACTTGAACTGTTTCTTCACAAACTGCTGCTCCACAAAGCTCTCCTCAAGAAGAGTTCACTTTAAAAGAAAACACAAGCCTCAACTATTTACTAGCTTCTAACATTAGCTTCTGCACACTAAAAGATTTCTACACTCAAATTGACTCAAAGCTCAACTGACTTCTCTGTCATTCCTTTTAAAACTAAACATTCTAAACCATTAGTCACTTGATCGCACCCCTCCCACTGCTTCAGTACGAAGAGACAAGGTAACTGCAAACTATAAACAAAACATTCACTTCAGGTTACAAAATGACATACTAATAAAACATTACTACAAAATGGGCAAACATCACATAGAGGAGGCTTGAGAGGTTGCATTCTCCAACAACTATTTCTTGAAAGGCTGGGCAAAAATTAAGTTCATATTTGATACTATGGGAAGGCAGGAGAAAGACATTGGGTCAGAGTAAGCCATTTAAGCAATGCCAGAGAACTTGGAGAAATGAACTCAAGACAACTCAAGGCAATTACCACAACTCAAGGCAATGATTTTGATAAACAGTATAAGCTTAATTGGCATAGGGGTCTTATATTTGCCCCAGCTTCCACCCTTGTACTCTGTTGCAAGTAAAAAGAGCAATGCCATTGTGAGAAAGATTAATGCAACTTTTTTTGGTCATGTCAGGAGCGACTTGAGAAACTGTAAGTTGCTTCTGGTGTGAGAGAATTGACTGTCTGCAAGGACGTTGCCCAGGGGATGCCCGGATGTTTTGATGTTTTTGCCATCCTTGTGAGAGGCTGCTCTCATGTCCCGCATGAGGAGCTGGAGCTGATAGAGGGAGTTCATCCATGCTCTCCCCAGATTTGAACCTGCGACCTGTCGGTCTTCAATCCTGCCGGCACAGGGATTTAACCCACTGCGCCACCGGGGGCAAAGTAGTATGCAACTACCTCCATACTATACTGACAATCCTTTAGTTCACATGTGCATATTTACCAATGTGTAAAGTTTTCTGAAATATACTAGATTGCTCTCCTTATTTTTTTCACTTTATTTCTGTCTTTGGTTCTTTCTGTTAAAGAAGTAATGCCAAGGAATGCACCTAAAATACTTTATGCACCTAATGCCAAGGAATGGACCTAAAAACTGTATTTCCAGCTGAAAGTCCAGCAACAATCATAGAAAGGTCTTTTTAAAAAGTATCAGAAAGCCTCATTCACTGAAACATTACATATTATGTTTAAATGAGATTTCCAAATTAAATTCAACACTTTAACACAGGGGTCCACAAACTTTTTAAACAGAGGGCCAGGTGACAGTCCCTCAAACTGTTGGAGGGCCGGATTATAATTTGAAAAAAACATGAATGAATTCCTACGCATATCTTATTTGTAGTGCAAAAAACCTTTAAAACAATACAATAATTAAAATGAAGAACAATTTTAACAAATATAAACTTACTAGTATTTCAATGGGAAGTGTGGGCCTGCTTTTGGCTGATGAGATAGGATTGCTGTGGTTGTTGTGTGCTTTCAAGTCATTTCAGATTTAGGTTGACCCTGAGTGAGGGCCAGGTAAATGACCTTGGAAGGCCACATCTGGCCCCCGGGCCTTAGTTTGAGGACCCCTGCTTTAACATTTCATGGAAGGAAGAAGTCTAAAGGATTATTATAATACTATTTTAAGACTATTTTAATAATACTGTTTTTCTCTTTCAGACTGGAACAGATCAGAAATATTTACTTGGATTCCAGGATATTTAGAAATAAATAATGACTGTTTCCATGTATAACAACCATGACTAAAGGCCATGGAACCAGAAGTAAACATCTACAGAGACCTTACTTTGAGTATAAAGAATTATTTTGAAAATATATCTGACTATTGCATGGTTCTGTGGCCCACAAGATTTGTGGACTATTCCATCTCAGTGACAGGTATACCAAAGTGATAGTATCAAGAGCTGCTGCTATCTTTGTTCTTACCTTCTCATTTATCCGGTCTATCTGCTTGTTTTGTGAATCAATCTCATTACCCATATCCAAAGCCATATTTTTCAGATTCCCCAAGATGTTTCCAACTTGGGTTAGATTTTCATCCATTTCATCTTCTCTGGCATCATTGGTTATCCTGTTGGAAGTATCAAGAAAAACTATTTTGAGAACTCAGTTTTTTTGCTGCAATAGTTTTTATAAGCTTGAACCAAAAAGTGGCATTATCTGCAGACAAATGGCAGGTTTATTGTAGTTTTTCTCTCTCTCAGAATAGTCATGCATAGGCTACAAAAAACAGATTTCTCTTCATTCTTTTCAAAATTTATTTATTTTTATTTATTTATTTCATTTCTACCCCACCTTTCTTGACCTCAGAGGGGACTCAAGGTGACTTAGAAATTCGGCAAAAATTCAATGCCACACAGGTAAACAATAAAATACATCTCATAAAAAAATAACAATCTAAACATATAAGCACTTAAAACCCATATCAATCAATCAACAGATTAAAAACCATATAAAATGCTGCTATTGTTGTAGAAGAGTAGCTGCTTACTCCTGTACATATCCAACTGTGGTCAGAAAATCAAAGCTCTTACCGTGTGATGTATCCCCCAGAATTTCCTCCTCCGCCCTGCTGCTGATAATCTATTGTCCGTCCCGGTTGTCTGGACACTACATGATCGCCTGAGTTCTCCATACCATCACCCCATGTTGTCCTATATGATTTACTAGACTCAAAATTCTTTGTTCTGCAAGAAAAGCAAATACATAATGAGATAAAAAGACATATTAAGATACTGCACAATAGGTAATTAAGCCAGGTTTCCTCTCCAATGACACTAGTTACAAATGCAGATTTGTCCTACAATTTGTGTTTTTAAGAGAGTACCACCCTAAATTCCTTATGGCTTTATCTTTCTAACATACCTTTAAATACAGGTTTGTTGTACTTACACTTGGATTTATATGTATGCAGGGGAAGTGGACCTAAGCAATATGGCTTTTACATAAGGATGAACAAAAATAATAAATATAAAGGTTCCATGATATTAAGTTTACATACCATATTTACATACACTGCCAATATTGGTTGTTTCAATTTATGTTTTGTAACTCACTAGTGGTAACTTTAATAAATAAATTGAATTGAATTAGCTGAACTACTTGCTTATATAAAGCATGTATGTTTCACCCAGTTGAACATATATAGACTAGCTTAATGGTGTATGCGTAGAATTCACAACTCTTAGCACTGTATAGACATTTTTTATAAAAATCACTAGGATTTTACAGCATTGTATGGAAAAGAATCATTAGCACAATAGTGTATATCTGGGAATTTTTTTCCAGCTGTAAAACTCAATTTTGTAATTTCAAAATTTGACAGACAAGCTATAACTTCAGAATATTCCTTCACATTTTAAAAAATTATATACAATCTACTAGTTTCCTGAAACAATGTCCAATAGATTTACAACTGAATATTGACAGTAGTAGTAACTATGGAAGACACAATTATTATTTTAGGTTAATTAAGCCAAAGCAAATAGCTTGACATGATCTACAAGCAACACAGTACACATACAACACAACTATAGACCATCACAAGATTCCTTGCATGTTAAGACAACATGCACATGCAGACAAACACTCAGTTAGAACGTCACCTTGAGGCAGCTGGTTAACAGTACAGGCTGCTTCATAAGATTGACCTTTTCATAAAGTCCACTCTGAATCCAATTTCTGATGTTTAATCTTCATTTTATTAAGCAAAGAAAGCAGGATTGTTAGGAGAAAGAATGAAAAAAAGAGTGAAAAGTAAGACAAGCAAACAGTTAAATAGTTGTTAGCAAACACACTATTTTAAATTATAGCTTTGGAATTATATATGTGATAGGAAACAAAGACAACATTAGCCCAAACATTAGAAGAAGAAAACAAATGTAGTGAGTGGTATATTTACAGGTTAAGGCTAGGTCTTCCCGTAACTATAATAAGAAGTCAAAGCATGATGGGTATTTCAGGAACAGAAAAGGAAATGGTTTTGTTAATTCCCTCCATCCCATAACAACCCATGCTGTTCCTTCTTTTAACTTTCTGTTTTGGGATTATGTCTATGGAAACAGACTCCACAGCAATGCCAGATATTGCACACTCTCTCAGAGAAAAGACAGGAAATGTGACAGCAAAAGGTGAAAGAAGAAAATAGGGACTTAGTACGTACATCTCACTTTTCCCCTCAGCACTCAAAAGAATGAATCTACAAATTTACCACACTGAGTATATATTTTATTTTAACAGTATAAATCAATATTGGCACTGATCAATATATTCTGAGAACATTAACAAGTTGTTTTTGCATCTAAATGCTTTATTTTCCACCACCCTAGAAAAAAACCTGTAACAACTACATTTTTCAAAATACAGAGCAAAATGCAGCCATATCTCCAGCCTTTGACAAAAAAAAAAAAAAAAAAAAAAAAAAAACAACCCTTTTTTCTAAAGTTATTTCATAGGGACCCAGTCTAGGTCTTCCCTTTTTGTATTCTGGCTACTGGAAGGATATTTTTTTGCCAGTATTGGAATTAGGAGGATAGTGAAGGAGGGTTATCGAAAGACTGACTTTCAGTGTTGGGTTGCAGCAGTCTGCAATACACAACAGCATGAGAAAGAATGCGAGTACTCTGAGTGATCCTACTGTGACTGTGTGTGTACTTATATGCAACAGGCAAGGTAAACACCTGCCTCCATAACTCCATACTAAGCATGTGTGAAGAGTAAAACAAAAAGACAAGGGGGAAAGGATTAGACTGCTCACCAGCTACACTGACATACTGAAAGAGCATATGCCTCCAAGCATAGCCAAAACAAAGCGGTTATCATAAGAGGAGGCTGTTGAAAGAAAAAGAATAATCCCAGGATACATTTTGGAAACAGCATTCAAGGTGTCTCTGGAAGACACAAAATGGTTTTGTTTACTTATGCAATGTTTTGTTTACTTACTTATAGTCTGCCTGTTTCATTTCACATGTGTAAAGAGAAAAGATAGCTTGTGGAAACATGTTGAACTGCTCTTCTTTTTGTGTTGTAGGAATCTATTTCTAATCATTACATGTAATTTCTACCTCTGGAACCATTTTTTATAAAGAAGTAAAGCCCAGAAGGACTTCTACTTCGTTGACATTTTAAAAATCTTTGATATTTGTCTTAAAGAGAGCGAACTTATCAACAAACTTTAACTGACCTATTGCAAGGACAGACACAGAGACCACAACACTTATTGAGTTCTTTTAAATTCTTCTCAGCTTCTCTCATGTCTTTGTTTATCTGGTCCATTCCTTCTTCTATACGGTTCAGCTGTTCTGAAACACAAAATTAAGCATGAAATGTTTACAGACTTTAAGGCTGAATAATGGTATGGTCTCCATACAGAAACCAGACCGTTAAAAAGATGAACAATAAATATGAACAACACAGCACATAAAAGGCTCTTTTCCCCTGAGCAGTCAGCCTTGAAAAAAAAAGTCTTTACCTGAAAGGAGAGCAAGGAAATTGTCTAACTTGTCTAGATAATTCAATAGCCTTGGAACAACAACTCCCTGTCCCATGTTCCACCAGATGTACACATGAACATGGTGGAAAAGCGCAAAGGGCCTCCTCAAAAGATTTAAAGACAAAGGCAGGTTCCTATAGGGAGATATGGTCCTTCAAATAACCTGGGCCAAAGCACATTTAATTCTTTCCAGAAAGAAAATGACAGCCATTGTAAGAGATACAACAGCTAAAACACATCTGAAGACCTATCTCTTCTGGCAATCCTACCCAGTTAATTCTAATCATGATTTTTAAACTTGCATATAGTGTTCACTATATTTTAATCTTTGTTCTGTGTATTTTAATATATGTATTTTGTAGAAATATGTTTTAATAGGTGTATTTTATATAATTTTTATGATGATCATGTGTTTTCACTATCATGTAACCTACCTCGAGCTACAAGGAGAGTGGGTAAGAAATAAAACTATTAATTATTATTATTATTATTATTATTATTATTATTATTATTATTATTTGATACACAACAAGATTAGTTCACAGCAAACAAGATCAACTAAGAAAGAAATTTTGGTGCTATAAGGTTTCATAGACTGAGTCTACTTAATGAGATGTAATTAAGGAATGTGTCACTGTGGCTGGATCTGATAACTCAAGGGACACGTACAGCTGAGGCCCAATTCTTTTTGCTGTGTATGCCCTGTTGGCAAAAGTTTTCAGCCAGACTTGGACTTATGTCTGGACTACATAATACAATAGGCTCTTTGTATCCGCTGGGGTCTGATTCCAAGACCCCCATAGATACCAAAATCCGTGGCTGCTCAAGCCCCATAATGTACAGCAATGTTATAGAATGCTATCCCTTTCATATTTAAAAAATATTTTCAAACCATGGATGAATACAGAATCCATTTATGTGGAGGGCAAACTATAATATTAGTCAGGTCTCATTACGCAGTAAAAAGATTTAAAAACAGATTAATACTTTATAACAAAAGCTGTCATGCTGGTCTTGTGACTCACCTCCTTGTTCATCTAACATGGCGATAGTTTTGATTCCAGCATCTTGGGACTATTAAAGAAGAAAATATTGGTAGTACAAAATGAGGAAGAAATGGATGCAAAAGTTCAAGGTACAATAGAAATGTTCTATAATTAACTACATGAAACAAAATGAGTAATACAATATTATATTAGTGTCATATAAATAAAGTTGAATTTTCAAGCTGTGATATGAATACATTCAGAATATTAATGTCACCATTCATTCAATATCATGAAAGAGCTCTTCATTAATATATCATTCATGTACTATAAAATAGACAGAATTGTAATGATTTTTTTATTTAGCCCTCTTCCCACAAAAACATTTCAGCCCTTTCTTACCTCAACGGCCAAGCCAAGAATCCTCCTTGTGCTTTCTAAAGACTAAAAAAAAGACAAATTCCATTTTAGACCCACAAGGTTTTAAAAACTTTATAGAAAGCACACTATAATACATGTCAATTCCAATAATTTAGTGCAATCTCCATCTGTACAACTCGTCTGCAATGTTTTCAGTTACACACTCAAAATTGAATTCCTATTTTTTGTCTTAACTATTTGGCCAATTGCCCCCTATGCTGTTTAACATATACATGAAACCACTGAGAAAAGTCATCCAGAGCTTTGGAGTACACCTGTATGTGGGTGACACTCAACACTACTACTCCTTTCCATCTAATGCCAAGGAAGCTGTCCTGACCCTAAACCAGTGTCTGTCATCAGTAATGGACAGGATGAGGGTAAACAAATTGAAACTTAAGCCAGATAAGACAGAGGTACTCCCGGTCAGTCGTAAGGCAGATCAGGGAAAAGGGATACAGCCAGTGTTGGACAGAGTTGCACTCCCCCTGAAGGCACAGGTTCACAGATTGGGGGTCCTTCTGGACTCAACGTTGATCCTGGAGGCCCAGGTATCTGCGGTGGCTGGGACAGCTTCTGCACAATTAAAACTTATGTGCCAATTGCACCTGTTTCTTGAGAAGCCAGATCTGGCCACAACGGTCCATGCCTTAGTTACATACTGTCTGGATTACTGTAACACACTCTACGTGGTGCTGCTTCTGAAGAGTGCTTGAAAACTTCAGCTGGTCCAAAGAGTTGCAGCCAGGTTGTTCACTGGGGCTGGCCAAAGGAAGCGGACAACCCCCTTGTCGCAGTAGCTCCGCTGGCTGCCAGTCTGTTACCGGGCACAATTCAAAGTGCTGGTTATGACTTTTAAAGCCATAGACGGTCCAGGTCCAGGCTATTTGGCTGACAGCATCCACTTGTATGAACCTGCCCGGACCCTGAGATCTTCTGGAGAGGCCCTGCTCTTGGTCCTACCTCCATCTGAATCTCGGCTGGTGGGAATAAAACAATGGGCTATCTCAGGGGCTGCCCTTTGACTCTGGAACTCCTTGCGCAGGGAAGCCAGAATGGCCCCTCCCTGCTTGCCTTCTGGCAGCAGGCTAAAACCTTTTTATTCAAATCTAGTGAGGGGGTGCTGTGGTTTTTAACTGTTTGATGGATTTTAACTGATTTTTTAAATGCTGCTTGTGTTTAATTCTATTTTAATGTTTGCATTTTTGTATATTTTAAATTGCATATTAATGCTTTTATGTCAACCCACTTTGATCCCCACTTTGAGTTATTATAAAACAGGGTATAAATAAATATAAAGATAACAACAATAACAACAACACCAACAACAACAAGGTATGGGGTCTCACCTCAATATTTTAGAAACAATTATAGGTACCTGTACCTAAGCCCATTACATGCTTAGTGGGCTTCATAAATCCTGATTAGCTTTGCTTTATCTGAAGCCTATTTTGATTGGATAACGATATGAGAAAAATGTGTTCTAACCAACAAGATATTTACCTCATCTGTAACTTGATGGGCTCTCAGTTGAATATCTTCAGGTGACAACTCAGCCATGATATATGTCTTGACTATTCAGAAATACTCGTATTTCTTCTGTAACAATATAACAATATAATTACAATGTCATTTGAAATTCCACAACTACATAATAAGTTAATCTAAGAAGCACAGAGACTCACAACTATCCAGACACATGCTCTCATCCAGTGACCCAGGGGAATGAAGGTTTAATTTTTGTTCCCATTGGTTGCAGCTAACCATATGGTAAAATAGTAAACAATGAAATGTACTAATCAAGCCCATCAGTTGCCTGTTCCTGCCCTTTACTATTCAGCTGTGAAAATGTATCACACGCTCATTGTTCATACTGGTGAAAGGATTTGCAGACCAAGGGGAGAATTGGTATAATACTCATTTCCTGTACAGGACCTGAGCCTATGAATATAATTAGTCACTTTCTACTAGAGAATCTAGCAAAGCTAGGGAGAAGGCAATCCCAATGCCATACTACACCTACATTTCTACCAAACAGGCACTGCTGGTTTTCCTAGCCCTCTCCAGTCTGTGTTCAAGTGATGTAGAAGAGGGGGGGGGGAGAAGAGAGATTTCCATTGCAATCACTGGGTACAATGGTCTGAGACTTTGGAGAGCCAAATCCAGTCTGCCGGTGTTCTTTGGGAACCTCTGCACTACAGAGATCTGAAATGTAGGCTTCCCACAGAACACAGATATCAACATCATCCCCCATGGATGTATTCGCATATTGCAAATTGTGAAAATTGGGAAGCCTAGGGGGCCTCATTTCCCCCCACCCCCAGAGATCTTGGACATCACATCCACACTGCACCCCTCTTTAACAAATTAACATACTGGTATTTCCCATGGAATGTACCCTTGGGAATATTTCCACTATGTTCAGCCTGCCACCCAAGACCATTTTAGGTCCAGGAAAGCCTCTTGAACATTATTCCTGACTTATGCTGACTCTAAATCTATTATTGGCTTGGCTTTGCAAGACTGGCCATTGCCAATCTCTTGAGACAAAGAGAGTTATTTTTCCATGATCTTCAAGTATGGGATCCTGCATAGGAGGATCAGACAGCTCCTTCACTCTCTCTCTCCAGCTTCAAACTACAAACTGCAAAACTAGTGACTTAAGATGGATAGCACAGACCTCAAAAACAAACATATTAACATTTCATTAGAATTAGTAAAAGCATTTTAAAAACTAGATACCAGCTGTCATATACATTAAAATTTCCATATAAAATTCAAATTCCCATGCCAAATTTTACATGTCTAAGTTGCTTGGTCTTGGATATCACCACAGGCAGAAATTCACATAACAATGTGGATTTTATACAGCTGTGTGGAAGGTGTCTTGGTCCTTGAAAATTTCTGGGTTTTTTAAAGCGTGAAAGTAAATTTACTTTCCAATTTACTGCCAATTTACTTTAAGTGTCGTACAAATTTGTCTTTTTCCCTCTGCTATTCTAAACATCTCAAGGAAACATCCCTGTTATCCTTGACAAAAAAATTTATTAACAGATATCTAAAGAAATGAATTGGGAACTATTTAAAAAGGTTCATGTTGCAAACTGCAAAGAAAAACGAATATTATATTGTTGGCCAATGGGCTGGATCATTACATGAGCAGATGAGCAAATGAAGATAGCAAGAAAAGCAACAGCAAAGCAAGACTACAAAACTCAGCAATTCACTTGCTATTATGTTGCTATGCAAGGACAATTATATTAAAAACCCTAAAATTATAAAAATCATAAACACTTATATTCAAAACCATAAAATCATAAAAATCTCAAACGACGACTTAATCTGATGCTGCTGTCTATAAAAGTTATGCTAACTTCTGTTACTCTTCAAAGTGCCACATGACTCTTTGTTGGTTTGCTGCAGGATAACATCATTCACTACTGCAAATGTTTGCAACGGTGTAATTTCCTCTTGCAACACAAAAAACATTTACTTTCACACTTTAAAAAAACCCAGAAATTTTCTAGGACCAAGACCCCTTCCACACAGCTGTATAAAATCCACATTGAACTGGATTATATGGCAGTGTGAACGCAGATAACCCAGTTCAAAGAAGATATTGTTCATTATCTGCCTTATTATTCTGGGTTATATGGCTGTGTGGAAGGGCCCTAAGAAACAGTTAAAAAGAAAGACAAACAGAAAGTATTTGTCTCCGAGAAGATTCCTCTTTCACTTTGATATCAACTGTAATTTATGAGTAAATGAAGAAGTGATCTGCCAATCTAAACATTGAAAAGCTAATAAAGAACAGGGTGTACTACTGCACTGTATCAGGGTATTTCCAACAGCATCCTGACTCCAAAAATGTAGACATTCCTAGGTTTTATTTTACAGCATTTAGTTTTTCTTTAATTCTTTAACCATGTACTTACTGGCTAAATGGCCTGCCAATCTCACACAAAGAGAACTCAAAAGCCTATACCCACTTAGTTCCAACTAGAGTAGGGACATAAAATTACTGTAATTATGTATTGGTTCAATAATTAATTGAATTGCCTGCACTAGCTGGGATTAACCAATAGGATTCCAGTCAAAGAGACTATCAGTCGAATTGGATTTAATACAGTTACTGTTTATTTACACCATTAGAGTCAGAAAGGTATTTCTCAATTTCTGCCACAAAGAGGAATTAAAGTTTGTTTTTCCACCTCTGACCAAACCGATATGAACAGATGCGACTCACTTGGTAGTGTTAATAAATCCAGTTCAAATACACTTCATCTACGGTTACCCATTTAGGAGCTGATTAATGATTTCAGTATAATAGTGAGGAACACACATATATGTCAAATTATTTAAGCTTTTTACGAAAGTTGATGTATTGTCTTACATTTTATCAAAAGCCTACATAATCCGAGTATATAGCACCAAACCTGGAAATTTGGTTGTACCAATAGCAATCTGATGAGGACTTGTACTATCTTGTAAAAGAAAGAGAGTATCCCCATACATTGCTTTGCATTGCTCAAAACATGAAAACTCAGACAATTAGGAACTTTTTCCTGTCTTCTTATCAGCTTCCTGAACATGTTGCAGAAACAATAGTGTTATTAATCCTCTTTCAGGAAGTTGAGCATCAGCATGTTAATCCTCTTGCTTGTTTAACACTTGAAGCTCTGAAGCACTCAGAAAGCATTTCTAGAATTCAATAGTAATATTCATTTACCTACATAACAAGCAAAGAATTTCAAACACTGGCATCATTTGTGAAGGCAGGTGTTTGTCCAAAAACATTTCCCTTTTCCAGCAGATGTTTATCACCAATTTTACTAGGCTTTCTCCTCATATTTTATATTTCTTTTTATTTCCAACATTTATCTTTCCACCTGAACTGGGATCTAATGCTGAATGTGTTGTTTCACACATCAGCCTTCAACTCCACTTCTGACCATAACCCATCATCCTCTCATGAAAAGACTATCCTTTAGGTTTTGAATTTTTATCTTAAGCATAGGTAAAGGTAGAGGTAGTCCCCTGACATTAAGTCCAGTCATGTCTGATTCTGGGATGTGGTGCTCATCTCCATTTCTAAGCCGAAGAGCCAGCGTTGTCCGTAGACACCTCCAAGGTCATGTGGCTGGCATGACTGCATATAACTAAGTAAATGCTGTAACTTATTTATAACTGTGCCCTGATCTACAAGAAGCACTGCCTGAATATCAAGCAAAAAGTGGGCACTAGAAACAATATCATACGAAAGATGACTGGGGATCACAACCAGATATAGTAAAGACATCTGCCCTTGCGCTTTGCTACTCTGCTGCTGAGTATGCATGCCCAGTGTAGAACACATCTCACCACGTTAAAACAGTGGATGTGGCTCTTAATGAGACATGCCGCATTATCACGGAGTGTCTGTGCCCTACACCACTGGAGAAATTATACTGTTTAGGCGGTATTGCACCACCTGACATCCGCCAGGAAGTAGCAGCCAATAGTGAAAGGCCCAAGGCAGTGACATCTCCAGCTCATCCTTTGTTTGGGTATCAGCCAGCACGTCAACGACTTAAATCAAGAAATAGTTTTCTAAGATCTACAGAGACACTTGCTGGAACACCTCAGCAAGCGAGAGTCCAAAAGTGGCAGGCTCAAACCCAGAACCTCAACCAATGGCTGATACCAAATGAGAGACTCCCCCCTGGGCACACAGAAAACTGGGCGACTTGGAAGGTGCTGAACAGACTGCGCTCTGGCACCACGAGATGCAGAGCCAACCTTAAGAATTGAGGCTACAAAGTGGAATCCACGATATGCGAGTGTGGAGAAGAGCAAACAACAGACCACCTGCTGCACTGCAACCTGAGCCCTGCTACATGCACAATGGAGGACCTTCTTATAGTAACACCAGAGGCACTCCAAGTGACCAGCTACTGGTCAAAGGACATTTAATCAACTACCAAGCTTGCAAACTTTGTGTTTTGTTTGTTTGTTTATTTTTAATGTAATACAACTGTTTGGCTTGCTCCTGACACGATAAATAAATAAATTTATATATTTACTGTCACTATATTTCTACCCCGCTCTTCTCAACTCAAATTTTTTAAAAAGCTAAAAAGGGAAATTGCTTAATTCCTTGTGCATTATGTTGTGTTATGTATTCAAAGTTAATATTAAGTAAGCTAAATATGCCAATACAAAAGGTCAAACTGCATTCGGTGTATAACATTTAGGAAAAAGAGCAGCTAAGAAAATGCAAGGATAATAGTATGTGAGACCCAAGTGCAGTAAGGATGCCAGCCTATGGAATGAGATGTCTGTTCTGGATAAATAACCTCCAGAGAACAGAGTTCTGTGGCTTTTCTTAGAAAAATATTGTTCAGACGGGGTTTGCCTTTCTCTTGCTCAAGGTCAAGCAATGAGTTTCCATGGCTAATCAGGTCTTTAAACCCTGGTCCCCAGAATCTTCCTTTAAGATTACATTAGAATGTACGGTAATAAAGGATAATATTATGCATGGCCAAGTGACGTACAACATAAATGGGGATGATGGAGAACAGAAAAGGACAGAAGCTGATCAGGAAGAGGGAAAAGTTATT